GGGAGTTGGGGGGTGAAAAGGGCAGGAGAGGCTGTGGGTGCAGGGACCTGTCATCCGGCATGTGGGCTGCCCCAGGGGGCCAAAGCCTCAGAAACCCCTTCGGCCGCCTCTGTGGGACGCAGGCTGGCCGGGAGCCTGCAGCTGGCCGGACTGGTTCCTGCAGAAGCCATCAGCCCGGTGCCCAGGGCCCCTGTGCCCTCTGCGTGGGCGACTCAGCTGACACAGACGGGAGCTGCCTGGCGATGGAGGACGGGCAGTCACGAGCCTCCCAGGACATCGCACAGGCACGTACGCAGCAGCCGCTGCCCGGCTCTGTCACCGCAGGGCCGGGGCGGGGACCAGGGCCGGCGACTTCCCCGAGTTCCCCGGGGGGTGCCCCTCCGGGCCTCTGGGCCCCGACTGACTCCCGAACCCCGGGCCATCCTGCTCTCCAGCCTGGCAAACCTGTTCTCCCTCTAGTCCTCCCGGCCCCAGTGGCACCAGGTGTGTCTCTTGATGACGCTGCCGCTGCCGGCTTCCTCCTCCCGAGGTCAGCTTCCTTCTCCCTCCCACGGTTCCCTCCGCCAGCCACCCCTGGTCCAAGCCACCGCGGCCGGCTGGGGGCCAGGACCCCGGGACCCCCGGAGGGTCTCGCAACCCCGTTCAGCCTCATGACAGCGTGGTTTCCCGCCTGCCAATCAGGACTGGCCAGGCGATGCCCGGCAACCAGCAGCCCCGTTGACCTCAGTGGCTCCGGATTGTGCAGGGTCCTGTCCTGCTTCGCTCCGTGGCCACGGCACAGCTGGCCGGGGGCTCTCCAGGGCCCAGGCCCCGGTATTGACCTGCCTCCGTCTCGGACGGCCCACACCTAGGATAGCAGCTCAGGAAGTGCTGTGAGAGTCCCGTTTTCAGAGCAGCACGGATTCTCGAGCTGGGGTCCAAAAAGGGGTTCTGGGGGAAGTCACCCCACACAGTGACCTGATCGTAAATCCCCAACGGGGGCCCTGGCTGGTGTGGCTCAGTGGATAGAGCGTGGGCCTGTGGACCGAAGGGTTCCGGGTTTGATTCAGGTGAAGGGCACAGGCCCAGGGTGCAGGCTCCATCCCCGGTGTGGGGCGTGCAGGAGGCAGCCGATCCACGGTTCTCTCTCATCATGGATGTTTCTCTCTCTCCCTCTCCCTTCCTCTCTGACATCAATAAAAAAGTATTTTAAAAAAAAAGGGAGACGAGGAAGGTGCCGAAGGACTCACACCTGGTGGCGGAGGCCAGGCCTGAGGGTGGGGCTGTGGGGGTGTGGCTCTCACGGCCGTGCTCCGCCCGGTGACACAGGGCAGAGGGTTTGTCTCTCCGTCTCAGCGGACGGGAATCTTCGCCCCAACACTTGCTCCCTCGCCCGGAGGTGCCCCACGTCCCCTGGGGAGGCCGTGCCATCGGCCAGGACACGGACCAGGAGCCACGGGGCTCGTCTGAGCCCCAGCTCGACTCAGGGCCACTGGGGTCATCGCGCCCCATTCCCCGCCTGTTTTCTCCCCTGAAAGGTGTGTGTGTTGGGGTGCAGGGAGGCTAAAGTCTAGGGGCTCTGCATGCAACTGAGCATAAGTTATCAGCTTACCATACACCTTCTTTTTAAAAATATATCTTTATTGATGTCAGAGAGGAAAGGAGAGGGAGAGAGAGAGAACATCCATGATAAGAGAGAACCACGGATCGGCTGCCTCCTGCATGCCCCCCACTGGGGATCAAGCCCACAACCCGGGCCTGTGCCCTGACCGGGGAATTGAACCGTGACCTCCTGGTTCAGAGGTCAACACTCAACCCCTGAGCCACGCCAGCCAGGCTAAAATACACCTTTATACCTATGTTTATGTATGTCCCAAAGTAACCACATGGAAAAATACAGTTCCACACACAAAGAAAGAAATCAAGGCATATTCACATTTTAAAAATCAATAAACCCGCCCTGGCCAGTGTGGCTCCATTGGTTGAGTGTCATCCCAGGCACCCAGACAGAGCCGGTTCGATTCCCAGTCAGGGCACATGCCCCTCAGTTCAAATCCCAGCTCCACCTGCTGGAGCCCTGAGGCCTGGGCTGGCTGCCCCCACCTTTGGCCTCTTTCTGCTTCCCAGCAGAAACCGAGTTGGCACCGGCCTGAGGCCTTTGCTCTGGATGTTACCTCTGCCTGAAACACCCTCCGAGGCCATCCACCCGTCGGCTCCCCCAGCACGCAGGTCTTAGCTCAAGTGTCACCTCCTCCGAGCAGCCCTCCATGACTACCCCGTCTCAGGCACCCACGACTCACTTTGACCCCAGTCAGTCGTTGCCCTAGTCACCAGTTGCGGCCTCCTGTTTTACGGATGGTGGCGCTGACTCGTCCACCCCTGGCTTCTACCTCTGGAATGAGAGGTCATGTCCTTCTGCTGGGTGGGCAGTGCAGGTCCCAGAGCCGGCCTGCCCTGGCCTCTGCGGTGCCACCTCCGAGTCACCAGCACATCCAGGCCCTTCCTTCCCTTCACCGGTTTTTGCAACGCCCTGGGCCATTGATAACAACTGCGCACGCCGGCGTCAAATCCGGTTTCACCTTAAGTGCCCCGTTAACATGCGTGCCAGGCGGAAGAACAGATGCTGGGGGTTGAACTCTGACCCTGCGTCAACTTTCAGACACATCCCGATTTCACGAGGAGAGGTGGACACAGTGGCCGGCCGGCGTGGCGCAGGGGATGAGCGTTGACCTATGACCCAGGAGGTCCCGGTTCGATTTCCGGTCAGGGCACAGGCCTGGGTTGCGGGCTCGATCCCCAGTAGGAGGTGTGCAGGAGGCAGCCGGTCCATGACTCTCCCTCATCATTGATGTTTCTCTCTCTCTCTCTCCCTTCCTCTCTGAAATCAATAACAACTTTTTTATTTTTTAAAGATGGAATAAGGTCATCACACCAGCAAGGCCCGCCCCGCGCCTGCAGCTCAGGTGTGCTCAGGCCTCAGCTGGAGCTGACCTGGGGCAGCAACCGCTGGGCTCCTCACATCCCCAGGGCCCTGGGAGGTGCGAAGGGAAGGCTCAGAGACGGGCAGCGACTTGCTTGGCAACACACAGCAATGCGGGTGGAAACGGGCAAAAGGGAGCCTGGGGCTGAGCCAATCTGGCTCAGTGGATAGAGCGTCAGCCCATGGACTGAAGGGTCCCGGTTCGATTCCCGTCAAGGGCATGTACCTTTCTTGCAGCCTCAATCCCACCCCGGCTCTGGGCGGGGCACACGCGGGAGGCAGCCAATCGATGTGCCTCTTACAGGGATGTTTCTCTCTGTCTCTCCCCCTCCCTTCCACTCTCTCTAAAAAAATCAATGGAAAAATACCCTCGGGTGAGGATTAACACAAATATAAATAAGATAAAAGGGCCACTCACCCACGAGACGAGGGCCGGCCCGGAGCCCCAGCTCCACAGGAGGGTCCAGGCCAACTCCGGCTGCGGCTGCCCACACCGACCCACGGGGGCTCCGTTGCTTCTGGAACCTTCACGCCCCTGGTTCCCACAGATACTTAAAAAAAATTTTTTTTAAATTGATTTCGGAGAGGAAGGGAGAGGGAGGGATAGAAACATCGATGATGAGAGAGAATCATGGATCGGCTGCCTCCTGCACGCCCTCCACTGGGGATCAAGCCTGCAACCGGGGCCTGTGCCCTTGACTGTGTGGACAAAAGGGGCCACATGCTGACCTGACCAGCTCAGGGGAGGCCTGCTTGGCGGTCTTGCAAACTCAGAGGCCTAAAGTAACCACAAAGGATGGTCTGAAATTAAACCTTAACTAAAAGCAGTTATGGTGGGCAGTTACGTCCTAGACCGGTATCTTCAACCTTTACCTTAACTGAGCCTATCTGTCTGTCTTTTTGCATCTATGATAACACACCCTTGAAATGTCTGGGTAACTTGTGACTTCCCTGTATCTGGAGCCCCTGGGGCACAACCAAATATGCTGGGTCCAGGACAGAGACCACAAATTCCTTCATCATCATGTTAATTGTTCCTGCACCCACCTAAGTATGTGTCCATCATTTTACTTTTTATCCAATCCCAGGGGTTTTCCTGCTTTGCTTATCCGTCCTCCTTAATCTGTCACCAATGAATTTCATGTAACCCACCTACGTCCCTCCTTTGATTGGAATGTATAAATACAGATGTAACCCCGCCATTCTCCGGAGCACTATCTCAATTCGTTGAGGTTCTGCTTCCCGGCCTAAGTCGACAGTTTGGCTCAAATAAACTCACAAAAGTTCTTTACAGGTTTCAATGTTTTTTTTTACATTAACAACTGGAATCGAACCCAGGACTCTTCAGTTCACAGACCGATGCTCTATCCACTGAGCCACACTGGCCAGGGCTGGGCTGAAGAGATTTAATGTCCAGGGGCCGCACGGAGCTAACATCCCGGGATCCTAGCCGGGCGCTCGGGCCGCTCACCCACGTC